GCTAAGAAAACTAAAAATTGTTCTGTTCATAGAAATGACTTGAGGAATTGATCGCTGCAGAAAAAGCCGTGTGAGGTATGTTTATGTCAAGGAATCTTGGCAGCGGGACCGATGGACCGTGGGCGGGGACCCGGAAAGTTTTGCGGGGGCATGTGACGAAATTGGCGATGGTAGTGTACGATCACGTGTCGATACGCCGACGAACGGTGTAAGCAGGGATTTACACTTAGGAACTTCCGATCATCGAGGACGTGGGATCAAGTACCTACATGCAGTTTCGGTTCGCAAACACGGGCATTCCCCCGGCCGCCCAGCTGCGATCACGAATGGTCGGTGTTAAGATTCTTCATAGTACCGCGAAGAAGATTTTTGTGTTCAGTGTGCTTCTCAAGCAACATAGTGTCAATTCGATGGAGAGCGAGTTTTGTACAGTCTTGGAGTTCTGGTGAGCTCTTGGTTCCTGGATAGTGTCAATGTGTAGTTACAATTTATGATTGCTTATAAGTTTATGGGAGCATTTGAGGCCGGTTCAATAGTTATGCGCTGAGGTCGAGGGAGTAGGAATTAGTAGGCGACAGGATATTAGGATAGTAGTAGAGCAGGAGATTGCGCAGGCGATTGGATACGTATCGATTGAAATCGCTGGAGAGTAGTAGATTGGGCGACTTCAAGCGAATAGATCAATACATATCTAATCTTGTCAGCGCACTATCCTAATCTACTACTGCTATCCTAATCTCCTACCCTCTACTACTATCCTACTATCGTAATATCGCAATCTACTACTCTCCGACGATTTCAATCTATACGTATCTAATCTTGTTAGCGCAATCTCCTACTCTTAAGTGGTACGGTATCCAATATCCCGACCCGCGAGTCAATACATATGTGTTTCGTTGTCGCGTAAGACTCCTAATCTTCCGGGAAGTCCGGCGAAGTATGAACGCGGCCTGGAGAATGATTCCGTCCGCGTTGAGTTAGTTAGGAATTTTCGGAGTTATTGTACCGCGGAGTATGCTCAGGATAGAATTTCGTGATGTATTTACTGCGATGCGGGTGAACGGAATTGAAGAGTGTGGCCTTGGGTCGAGATCGCTAGAAGCACGTCGTGCACATCGAAGTACAGCAACTTGCACGATAGCGGTTCCCATCGCTTTGCGGACAGGCATCACTGGCTCTTTCTAGATCCAGTTTAGGCTGACTAATAATCAATTCGAGTCTTTCTACGTGGGGATTACCAAAGCTCCCCCCCTCCCCCTTACTCGTCTCGACGATCCTCAACACACGCATGACCCTGCTTACAGCTGCGGGAGCTCGACTAGAAGACTAGCGTTGGCCAGTCCCGCTGCCACTTTCAAATTTGAAGTTTCGGTGTGTAAACACTTAGTACTGCACAATGTAGGTGAAATAATTTCATCATGGAAGTTCTTCAACTGTGATTCCTTCCCCCCCCCCCTCCCTAGTGCATGGCTAGAAATCATAGTTAGCGAATTGAGGCGAATTGGGAGATTAGGATAGTAGGCGATAGAATACTGGGATAGCAGGATATGAGGATGACCAGACAAGTTACATGCGTATTGCAGGGGGGAGGTGGGTGGAGTTGTAGATTAGGCGTCTGCAGGCGAATCGATCAATATGTATATAATCAAGACTTGACCGTGAGGCCAGGAAATTCAGCGTTCTGTCATGCTGTCTAAAAGCTCTCCCACACGCACACTATTTCACATATCTGCTTTCATTATTCATTTGATGAAACATTCTCAGGGACATCGGAGGAAAAGTAGCGTTGGCCAGTCGCTAGATCATGCACTGCGAGCAATTATCGCACTCTAACTGCACCGTAGCGTGAATCCGCGTTCATAGTTTGCGATTTGGAGATTAGGATGGTAAACAACAGTGAAGAGAATATGTATTGATTGGAGATTAGGATAGAAGCTGATTAGGCGAGCAGCAGCGGGGTTGACGGACTACTTGAACTCAGCCCTTTACCGCCTCTGCGCTCTCTAGCGGGTCCCTCTCCTCTCCAAGGCTTAGTCCTAGGGCATTCTCTAATCGTCTGTGCTCTAGCCATCGCGGCAGGACCATTGAGGAAAAATCAAGTAGTCCGTAAACCCAGCAGCGGAATTATATATAAGAGACCGTCTATCGCCGCAGTTGTGACGCCACAATGACGTCATCAATGCGCGCCCGCGTCCGCGCTGCAGGAGAGCTTTTCCATAGAGCGCCGTTTTCAACGCAGGGATAAAAGAAGATTTTGTTGTGCGTAAAACGCAGAAAAAAACTTGCCTGGTCACCATTTCGAGCCATTTTCATAGAGTTCGAGCTTCTCAATCAGAAAACAAAGTGATCGTGGCGTGAACCGGACCACTGGAAGCGCTCGTTTTGCTTGGCTAGCCGAGCCGAATCCTGAAAGAAAATTTTTGTGCGTAGGATTTCCTCGCAAAGGACCAGAATCAAGAAAGAAAACAGTAAAAGAGGAAAAGTTCACGTCAATCTAAAGAAGCGACATCAAAAATGTGGTCATTTCTCGAGGTCACAGTATTCCTTCTGCAAGCTTTTGATCTGCAATTGTTCGATGCCATCACCGCCTAGGGCATTTCCGAGCTGTGGCTCTTCCCATGAGAGTGTTGTTGCCAGAAGTAGATGGAGCATGACGACATCTTCAGAGTGGATGTTGTCCGGCGTGCGACGACGACGGACAGCTTCAGAATCCCCGTTTTGAAGACGTCGTTGTTCGACGCGTCCATCGACACCTTCGTAGGTCAAATATCAACGTAGGCGGTAATTCTCGAAACGTCGCTCATTTCACCCTATGCCAACGCGGTGTGCGGTTGCCCACTAGGGCCTAATTCTCTCATTCCTTTCACTCCTACCGTGAATCGTCTTCCTCTAAAACTATCATCCAAAGAAAGTGCTTATTTCAGTTATTCTCAATTTTTGTTGTTGTTCTCTCCGCAAAGCGTACACATTTTTGGCGCTCCTAGCGGCGTAACATTTGTGACGTTGACGTTCTGACGCGGATTTCTTTTTGAGTTGAGGTTCGTCTAATGAGATCACACTTCCATAATGTGTAAAATATCCTTGTAAACTGTTTGATTTCTGCAGATGATCCCATCGTTTGCTTCTTCGCCCGTATATGACATGTCGACCGGAATCTATTATGCGACTGGTGCCACTGCGGTGATCCCGACACCTGCCTACGAACTCATACCTCATCGAGTCTTCGTCGGCGGCTTTCCGGCCAGTGTAAGTGAAGTTGAAGCTATTTTAGCCATTGAGCCTGCGCACTGGGGTGTGGCTCTTCGACATTTTTATGAAACAAAAATGACATATGCAAAGTGACGAGTGCATATAACTGTCACGAGACATCGGGAATTCCGTGAGCCAGGGATGTAAGCAAATCTAAGGGAGGTTGAACGCCCGGGTGCAGGCAGCTAGCTATGACATGCATGCCCAGAAAGCTGAGCGTAGCCACCCCACCTTGTATACGGAGTATCATTTTGTACTCCTACTGACTAGTATAGGACGCCATTCGTCGCGGGACCCACTGCCTTAACCCGCGGGGATCCCAAGCGATCGCGGTTGGATTCGAATATTCCAGCTTCTCACGCATGTCAAGTGACTGCCCTCACCCCCCACCCCCCTAGACTGGCTACACTGCCCCTGGCTCACGGATTCCCCGCTCCAATTGAAGGGTTCACTGTAGCAGGAGGCAGTGGGACCCGTAACGAATGGCGCCCTTTACTAGTCAGTAGGAGTACAAAACGATCCGCGTCCCTTGTATAGTCAGCCTTTTGTGCCATTGAAAGTGACTGTGAGCACACCTGCCGCCACCTGGGTGATGGTTCCACTAGAGAAGAAACTGAACTTTACGCGTTCGTAAGCGCGAAACATTGTTCGCCTGCCGGGGAATCTCCGTCTACTGATGATTCGCTGCAGGAACCCCGGGTCCACTGATGATCAGCGGTGGACCTGAGTTTCCTGCAGTGGAAATGTTCCGCGCTGCAAAACGCGAAAAGTCGCTTTCTGTCCTACTGAACCACACCCCGCTACCCACAACCGGGGGACACGATTTCCCATGCAATGATGTCCTTCTACAGTCTAGGGAACCAGGAATTTCGCAGTCGTTGAACGCCGATTGGTACTGTAATCGATTAGTCTGTGTACCTCTCAAGAACCTAGGAAACGGGACCAAAGATCCCGAAAATAATTGACAGAGCGTGCGGGAAAGGACTTCAGCGGCCAGGGTCAACCGTTACGTTGGACCGATATTGGAGCGACGTTGGACCGATGTTCACCGCTCTCCGCGCCGGCATTCACTCTCGCCACCCGCGAGCCGTCTGTGTCTCCGTGCGTACGTTCACTCTCGGCATTACTCTCGTCGTCGCGTTGGACTTTGTCCAACGGACGGTTGACCCTGCTTCAGCGAGAGAGCCTTAACCTTGTGAGGCTACGGTGACGTATTTGTTTTTCCGGTCAGTGCTATCACTATTGGGAACATTTTCCTGAGATTTGCATGTCTACAGGATCAACCTTAGCTTCGGAAATGTGGTTTATGAAGCAGCTCCCAAAATCCCTCTAGATTTAACCTCTCAATAGGTTTTCGAGATTTTAAATCTGATACCTATTCGCGCGAAAAGGAAACCCCGTCATAACGCGATCATCTCAATCCCCAACCGCCGTCCCTTCCGAAAGACACACAGCCCTTTCCTCGATCCATTGGCAGTTTAACAGTGCCAACGCCTAACTTCATTCGACCGCTCCTGTCATAATTGGCATACGACCACTTCTTCGTTGCCAAAATTGCAGCCTACCAAGCGGATGATCTCTGACGTGACCATCTCTAATAATCCCTGATTTGGCACTGAGTGACATTGATTCCAGGAACAGGTTGCAAGACAATAGGAAGATAAACTCTTGTAGTGGTTCCAATAACACTGCAACTTTACCGGCGTTTTCAGAACAACATGAGGCTTGGAATTAAGAGAGCATTCTCCGAACTGTTTTTCACTATTTAAACAGATAGTGAAAAAGTGATTATGAAGCGCTGATGGTTGTATCCTACAGGGCTACGGTTTTACACGTTTGAATACCAGCGACCGAAGCGGACACAGCTTCGCGGAATGGTATAAGCTGTATATCTATCCTATTTCTCATGAAGTCTAACCACAAACTGATGGCCAGTAACTGGCTAACAATGGACCGTGAAGTGGAAGCCTAGATGAGCCTCTGACATTCACTTTGAGAATCAGAAGCTAATTAAATGACTGCATTGCTTGTTGTAATGAAAATAAATGTGCAATGTTTTTCAGTCGCCCGAAAAATTGGAATTTAAAGGTCGCAAATTGAATCTTGGGCCGGCTCTTAGACGCATGTCACAGCGTTACTCAACTGGTAAGATCATTTAGTTGTGAAGACTTGTAAGAATTTCCTCTGTTAATCCATTGATCTAGTCGCAGATTATGCAATTGCTACTCCAACAGGACTGGTACAGTCACCCACATATGGTTATACTTATTCTTTTCCTCCGCAGCCACCATTCGTTATGGTCAACACTCCACAGGTATTCATTTATTACTTTCCGAAGTTTTTCAGGCGGTTGCGTGTGGAGCATGTCCTTTACCGCGCACTGGTAATAACCCTTTTTCTCGGTAAGGAAAGCATACCCTACTGTCAGTCATGGAAGACCATCCCTACCCGAGCATGCTGTATACGACCCCAGGGAACATGAAGACTAGAAGTGGTAGTTATTGCCCAATTTACAAGATCTTGACGTTCTCAGTCCGCAACGGCATCTCAGCATGTTGTCGGTACCACACGGTGCCTGCTTATTCGCATCCCACGGCATACCAACAAGAGCGTCACCCAAACTTTCCGCCTACGTGTACACATCGCCGGTTCACCGTTCCGTCATGCCGCGATGATTATCCCGTTCGCTGGCGACACGGCTCAAAAATTGAGCCAGCATCCTGTCCATAACTGGTGCCAGCTCAAACGAGAGCAAGGTGGTTCGTGCATCACTACTGAAGTGGTATAATATTCCAAGAAAGACATTGTATTAGCCACTTCTCCGTGGCTCTCACCCTCTTGCACGCCAGGCACTCGTGCGCCAACAATCTGAGTGCGTGTCTTTACCCGGGCGGCAAAGCGTGCACTGTCAGACAGCCACCTGCTAACTGGCTGCCACCAGTTCGTCCGAATGTCGCGTCGGTTACACCGCGCACAGTGCCCGTACAACAGCCGCAACCGTTGTATCAATATCCGAGTGCTAACCTACAGTGCCGCCAGCAGCGCTCACCTACTAACACACTCCCGTGAGTGTTTCTTTGAAATCAGAATCAGTAACTGCACTTCAGTTTCCTAATCATAAACCTGTATGTATACACTGCTCTGAGACCTAGTAGTGATGGCTACTCGCCCCAGAGGTTAGGCCTGGCGTCTAGAGTTCGCGCACCCGTCGCCACCGCATCCGCGACGATTCCGCGACGGTCAACAGACCAATTGAGAGTCAGCCCATATCATACTGCAAAGGTGGTCTCCAATCCTGGCGCCATTTCTGCTTGATGTGATGGTCTGAATGACGACTGTTCATGATTCTACTTGTTTCATATTCAGTGTTTCAAATGTTCAGATGAGGGACTTGCAGTTTTTGCGATCCGCGCGAATTGCGTGAAACTTGCGACGGATTGACTCTGACACCAACCTTACTGAGCTGTGCGATTACGTCAACCCCCCCCCCTTACTCGCACATTCGTGAGGCAATATGTTTGTACGATATTAGCAGCTGTTCACATTCAGAATGTGCATGTTACCATCTCAAGTAGACGTATTCTTTCGTAGCCATGCATTTTCAGATTTTTGCCTTCAAAGCTTGTGAGCTTGTGCCAAATTCTAATTGACGTTTTCAGGTAACCCCGACTGTCGTAGCGCACCCACGCAGTTCGCCTACAAACATTTACAATTCGCACATGGCTTCAGTCCCCTCGGCACCATACTTTTCCACACCAGATGGCCATGGAGTTCCATATCAGCAGGTATGAATGTGGCGCATAGGTACTCTTCATGTATAAAATAGACCTTAATTAAGACATTCTACTACAACAACACCCCCATGGCAGCCGCAGGCGATGCCGCAAATATGCAAATGATGTACGGTAATGGAGCCCCGCCAGCCGCTACACCGCTGTACGGTGGAGCCGAATACACGCCTCCACCAACTCAACAGCCACCACACGATTCGCCGCCAATCGCTCAGGGACTCTTTACCCCATCACCTCATCATGGAGGCACTCCACAGGTGGTGTATGAGGTAGACGTACTTGTTCAACGGCGTGGTAGAGACATTTAAAGATCTGGCCTGTGTTTTGAGAGGTGACATCGCTCTTTGGAGAGCACCGCGACTAGAACTTGTACACGCTACCTTTTCTTTTGACTTTAACGTTCATACAGTCACAGTGTACATTCTGTCCGCCGATTGTCTTAGATGTACCGTAACTATGGTGACAAGAACGAGTTTTGCGCAGAAGATGAGTCATCAAATAACTCCATTTTGTTGGAAAAGTTTGCAAGTCTGTTACCCATAGGAGTGGAGTGACTTGCTCTGAAACTGAAAATTGGGATTCTTTGATGGCTGATCCATTGAAGTCTTCGTCGCATGTAGTCTATTCAAGAATGTTGCACGGTTCGAATGTCGTGTTTGTGTGCTGCTTTTCTGCATGCATTCATTAAACAAAATGTACAATGCCTTTCAAAAGTGCATGTAATGGGGCCCTCACTCCATGAAGCAAATGCTCCTGTCATTAGTGATGTTGACGTTATGATGCTTTTTTGTGTGCTGCTTTTCTGCATGCATTCATTAAACAAAATGTACAATGCCTTTAAAAGTGCATGTAATGGGGCCCTCACTCCATAAAGCAAATGCTCCTGTCATCAGTGATGTTGACGTTACGATGCTTTTGTGTGTGCTGCTTTTCTG